TCAAGGGTCCCTGAGATGTTCTCCAGCTTGAGGCATTTAGTGTCTGAACATGCCTGCTCATCTGATGAGTACAAGGTTGAGAACACAGGCCCTATCATTGTCCAGGCTGTGATAACTATGCCCAAATGCTGTGGTCACTGCTCAGTCCAGAAGTTCCACAGCAAATGATTGACAGAGTGGCCAGAGCATGCACAGTCCATCAATGACACAGGATCTCTCTCCAAATCCAGGGCCTGAAAAGAGCACCCTGCATAGGCAAAGGTCTCATATCTCATCTGTCTGCAGGGCACATCTCTTAAGGGAAACTGGACATTCAAATTTCAAAATTTGCCCATGGCAGCTGGACTTACTCCCCTTTGAAATTTTCCTGTTATGAATAGACTTGAAAGGGATAATGCGCCTTACTTACAACCTGAGTTTTTAATACAAATATTACATGCAACTTGGTTAAAATGGTCAACGTGTGACCTTGAAAGTAAGGTATCAATTGTCAGATTGAGTGACGAAGTTGGAAGAAGGTACATGGGAATGACTGGGTGACTTCTAAAGCTTGCTACAGGAGGATCGTAAAAAGAAATGAGTTGTTTCTTGTTTTGTTGTTGAGATGAGGTCTCACTATGTAGCCCTGGTAGGCCTGGAACTCTCCATGTAGACCATACTAGCCTTGAACTGACAGAGAACCACCTGCCTCGGCCTCTTGCATGCTGGGATTAAAGGTGTGCCATGCCAAGATTTTAAAAAGATACATAGAAGAAGTAGAGGTTGGAGAATAAGGAGGTGGGAAAAGTTGAGATCGAGAATAGGGGAACACAGAACGGAATACCATATGATAAGCTGGCCAAATGGACCAATGGTCAACTGAAAGCCAGATATCAGAAAATCCCCAGGTGTCTATATTGTCCATAATTCTCTTCTCACTTTATGCTATTTTATTTTTCCATGTTTCATGTATTTGTGGCATTCATGTATGTGAATGTTTCAGGGTGTGTGTGTGTGTGTGTGTGTGTGTGTGTGTGTGTGTGTGTGTGTGTGTGTGTGTTTCTGCAAATGTGTGAGCACATGGAAGCCCGAGGTGGATGCTGGGAATCATCCTCTATCTCTCTTACACCTTATTCATGGAGGCAGAGTTTCTTAATCAACCCAGAGGTCATAGATGTGGCTGGTCTCCTAGTGAGCTTGCTCTGTGGCTCTTCCTTCCAAGTCTGAGATTACTGGTGGGCTACCCTGGGGACCTGAATTCCAGTCCCCACTCTAGCATAGCCAAGCTGTGACTCACTGGACAATAACTCCCCAGTCACCTTTCACCTTTTCGTGTTAATTTATTTGTTTATTTAATGTGTATGTGCATTTACCTATGTGAGTTTATATGCACCACATGCATCCAGGAGCCCACAGGGGCCAAGAGAAGCCGTTGGAGCCCCCTGGAACTAGAATTACAGGCATTTGTGAGCCACGGTGTAAGTTCTGGGAACTGAACCTAGGTCCTCTGCAAAAGCAGGAAGTGCTCTTAACTGCTGAGTCATCTCCCCAGCCCCCCTTTATTTTTCAAAGATTCCCCTCCTCTGTTTCCAAAAGTGAAGTTGGGTCTTTGGAATGAGAGTGGATCACTCCAAGACAGACCCTCAGACAATGCTTTTCTTCCTGGTCTCTGAGACATAAGCACGTGGGTCTCTGTGTGCACTCTAGACATAAGCACATAGGTCTCTGTGTGAGCTCTAGACATAAGCAATTGGGTCTCTGTGTGAGCTCTAGACATAAGCACTTGGGTCTCTGTGTGTGCTCTAGACATAAGCACATGCATCTCTGTGTGTGCTGTAGACATAAGCACATGGGTCTCTGTGTGCACATGGGTCTCTGTATATGAGCTCTAGACATAAGCACTTGGGGCTCTGTGTGAGTTCTAGACATAAGCACTTGGGTCTCTGTGTGTGCTCTAGATATAAGCACATAGGTCTTTGTGTGCACTCTGGGTCTCCTGTGCTGAGGAATTTTGTGTCAAGTTTAAGATCAGAGGACACATGGCCTTTTATGTGTGAACAAGGCTCACCTCCTTGCATGAGGCTTGTTGTGACTTGTGATTAGAAGGCTGTGAGTCAGAGAGTGTGGACACAAAGAGACTCAACTCCAGGTACTCTATCACCTTCCGTGCCCCGAAAGTCCTGCTTCCTAGAAGACAGTCCTTCCTAACAAAGCCAGGGCGAAATGTCAATCAGCACGGCTTGGGGGACAAGCCTGGGAGCTGGCAGATTCACAGCACAATGTCCCTCTGCTGCTAAAATAGAACTCAGGGAAGTTTCATAATTTCATAAAAATCTGTTGATAATATTCAATCTTTGCATGTGCCAGACACTGGTATAAACACCCCATAAACACAGAATTACCACAGACCGACGGAAGCAGATAATATAATTGAATTTATCTTCAAGATAAGGAAATTGAGGTTGTGAAGAGAAACCTTGCAAGTCACCCAGGCTGTGTGTGGCAGGAACAGGACCAGAACAGAGGTCCTGGCTTAGGGGTGAAAAATCCAGACATCCTCTGCCACAGCCAGGCCAGTGCATCTTGCCTGCAACCGGACTGCCTGGTCCTTAGATCCAGGTTGTCCAGGGGGGTCTCAGACTCATCTGGTAGAGGGCAGAGGCTGCACTTCCTCAAAGAGTGAGCTATTTCACACAAGTAGAGGACAACAGACAGCACCTTTGACATGTCACAACTCCGCCCAGTGCTGCAGCTGCCTGCTCTTCTGTCCCACATCCCCAAGCCAGTGCCACCTGAATTCAATACACAAAGTCGCAAAGCCCCAGGCAAAATGAGTAACTCAGATTTAAACTCAGAACTTGGATCGGTAACTTTCCCTGCTCAGCTCGGGGAGTAGGGTGATGTGGCCTTGATGAAGCTGGAGCTTCATGCTAAATCTCCACTGATCTTGGTTCCTCATTGATAAGGTGCAGGAAGCCACAGACACATTCCCAAAGAGTACTCTCCCCTTGCCCCCCAAAACCATCCATTTCAAACCTGTAAAAGACATGGGTTTGATGGGCAGGGTGGGGTGGGGTGTATTTTAAGTCCTTCGACCACACCCAAAGCAACAGAAAATCAGTACCTCCAGCATCAGTCCACTCATAAATAGTAAGAAAGAGCTGAGGGTACAGCTCAGCCACAGAATATTCAGTTATCATGCACGGATGGGACCGTGGATTTGACGAAGGTTGGGTTTCTGAACATCACAGACACAGCAAAGTGAGTATATTGATAAGACAAGACGCTCAGCAAATAATTATTTGAACCTGAGGGAATAAGAAATACCTTAAGAAATGTATCAAAATCTTTGAATTTGAATCCTTTATGTGACACACACACACACACACACAAAGCCAAAGCCTTAAAAATAGCCGTCCCCGCAGCCAGCCGGCAAGAATAAGACTGTACTGAAGTGTGGAATAACAGGCCGGCATTCTGTTTTGAAAACATTTTTCCCCCAAAGCAAATCATCTGACAGGATTGTATATATAGGTTTTGTTTTTCCTAAGAAGAACAAAATGTAGCTACAGCAATTATAACCCAAGACTTTCTGACTCACAAATCAAAATTCCTCTATTTTGATGATCTCGCTTTTCAGCTTTACTTGAAGGCAAACATCACCTACCTTTCCCTATTGTGAAACTCCTGGGGGCCTCTGAAGAGGCTCTGCTTCGTGGGGCTTTCCCTAAGTGTGTTAGAAAGCCAAGTGTCCCTGAGCTGAGTTCCAAAACCCCCATAGTGAGAAGTAGCCCATGAGAACTCTGCCAGACGCCCTGTGCCGAGCTCATAGTGGTGGTGGAGGCGAGCATCCCAAGATGGAGTCTGTTGCCTGCTTTGCTAGGCATACCCCTTGAATCACTGAGCTGTCCTGGCTACCAAAGGGAACCATGAAACCAATGGAACTAAAGAGGTAAGACTCGAGACTCTTTTCTTAGATACAGCCTATGGGCATCAATCTCTCTGGGCTGGGCATGAATGTGCAAGCTCATAACACAACCCACATTCATAGACAAGCAAATGAAGCCAAAGAAAGGTTAGCCTCCTTGTCCAGTCTGATGAAACCTCAGGACCAAAGACCCTACTGCCACAGCATTGAACCTCTTCAGTTTTTCCATCCTAAGGCCATGAGCTCCCAGGATGGTAGAAGGGCAAACAGTAATCCCAGCTTTGAGGTTTTTACATGGCTTTCGGCCCCTAGCAACAGGCAGTAAGTCTCCATTCCTTTGTGGATTTTTGTCCCAGCATGAATCTTTCCATTTTTCTGAAACACAAGCCATTCACTACCCTCACTTGAAGTGGTGGGTCACTATGACTGTTGGGGCACCCACAGTGAGGTTGGGGCTCCTACCCTTACTCCAGTCCATCAACATTCCAGACAGAGAAAGTCAGTCTCTGCTATAGAAAAGTCACAGAACCTTTGGATCCATTGAAAATGAGAAAGAGGAACAGTTACTGGGTGGGACACCCTAGAACAAAATAAAAACCTCAAGCCTCTTAAAGTGGGTGGTCTTCCCAGTTCTGGGGGCCCCTTCTTTATCTGAGAAGTCTGTAACACTTGCAAGTCAATGAGCTTACCTTGCACGGAGTTGTTTGCTTGAATTTTAATTATTTAAACTGGCAGAGAAAAAGAGGCCACCTATTAGCCAGTGTCACCCTCTTCCCATTCACCATCCACAACAAACACAGCCTAAGAACAGCCGGGCAGTGGTGGCGCACACCTTTAATCCCAGCAATCCCGAGGCAGAGCCAGGCAGATCTCTGTGAGTTCGAGGCCAGCCTGGTCTACAGAGTGAGATCCAGGACAGGCACCAAAGCTACACAGGGAAACCCTGTCTCAAAAAAGAACAGTTTCCTGGCACACCGGCTTGAAATCACTGGCCCCTGTGTTAGGGGGGTAGGCCCCTCAGGAAGTGGCAATTGCTCGACCCCATGCAGGAAGTCAGACTTCACTCTAGACACATCACGGCCTGGGCACCTACCTCAGGATGAAATGGTCCACAGTGGAGTTATTGGAGATGGTAACAGAGGCAGTGACTATGTCTCCCTGCTTGACAGGCTGGGAAGGCAGCCAGATGACCACATTGCCATCCAAACGCAGTTCGCTGAGCTGGGTGCTGTCCTGGGTGCGGTAAAGGCCAATGCTGCCAATCTTCTGCAAGTGGGACGTCCTGTCCTCCTGTCCATCCTTCCCTGGACGGATGGCATTGTCCTTCCTGGTATCACCTCCGGTGCAATCCCCTCGCTCATCCCCTGATTGCAGAGTGTAGTACAATTCCACGGGATTCCCTTCTGACTGCTCCGTGGGCCTCCTGCGCCCAGACACGGTCGTCGGGGGACTGAACCAGCCAGGCAGCATCTCCAGCTGGGCCACACACAGCCCCAGGGCCCCACCCAGCCGGCAGCTGCCCCGGACCTCCCGGGTATCTCGGAAAGCAAAGACCCTCAGGCAGGGCAGCTTCTCCGCCACCCTGTGGTCATCCCAGTCTCGGCCTACGATGTGGAAGAGTACCTGCACTTTGGGCCGACTCAGGTAGACTTTCTCCTGGAGGATGTAGGCCTTGAGCCTCCAGTCAAAAGGAAACTTATTGGTTGGACCTAAAAAGTTGGGGTTCAACATCAAGTCCAGAGGTATGACCTTTTCTGCAGAGTAAGGCCCATAGCTGGCATTTAATACTGGCGGCTGCCTGGTCTTGTAAGTAAAGAAAGACTCTGCCCTGGACTGCAGGCTGGCATTCCGCAGCAGGTCAGGGTTGGCCTCCTTTAGGAGGAAGGATGTTTCAGCTCTGAGGATGTGGAAGCTCACGGGCAGGTATGGCGGCAACGAAGAGAATCTCTGTATATTATCGATGACCCCACGACCTTCTGTCACTAGAGAGAGAGAGAGAAACAAAGACGTGAACTTAGTAACAGGCTGGTGTATTCTGGTTGTTAGTTCAGGCAGCAATTGAGAACCAGGGGATAAAAGTTCTGAAGTCCAGGCTGGGCAGTGGTGGCACACACCTTTAATCTCAGCACTCAGGAGGCAGAGCCAGGCAGATCTCTGTGAGTTCGAGGCCAGCCTGGGCTACAGAGTGAATTCCAGGAAAGGTGCAAAGCTACCGAGAAACCCTGTCTCAAAAAACAAACAATCAAACAAACAAACAGTTCTGAAGTACACGAGACCAAAACTGTGAAGAGTCTTTCTGGAAGTAGCCAATGCTTCTGGATGGTCCACAGATTGCATAATTATTAGCTAAGGTCAAATATGTAAAGCAGAATGAAGGCTATAAAACTGGGAGTTGGCGAAATGGCTTAATAAAGGGCATGCCATGCAAACTTGAGGACCTGAGTTCAAATCTCCAGAGTCTCCAAAAAAAAAAAAAGCAGGTAATGGTGGCACATGCCTGTGGTCCCAGCACTTGTCGAGGAGGCAGAGACAGGAGGACCACTAAGTCTTTTTGGCCAGCTAGTTGAGCCATATCAATGACCTTGAGAGTAAGAAAATGACCCATGGAATAGAATAAAATCCACAAATAAACCCTGAAACAGAAAGGTTAGTTTGAGGTAAAGATGGTACCTCAAATCCTGAGGCAAAAATATGGACTTGAACAAATACTGCTGTGGCATTTGGGTAGACACTTGCTTTAAAAAAAAATAAAATTAAATGAAATTAGATCCAAATGTTTTTTTCAATTTCTTTATTATTTTATGTGCATTGGTGTTTCGCCATGGGTGTCAGGTTCCCTGGAACTGGAGTTACAGACAGTTGTGAGTCCTCTGGAAAAGCAGTCAGTGCTCTTAACCACTGAGCCATCTCTCCAGGTCCTAGATCCAAATCTTATAAGAACAATTAAACTTCAGGGCCAAAGAGATGTCTCAGTGGGTAAAGTAGTCACCATGTAAGCCTAAAGACCTAAGTTCAAATCCCCAGAACCCATGTAAAGGCCTGCACTGGGGAGGCAGAGATGGGAGGATCCCAGGGGCTCTCTGGCAAGCCAGTTTAGCTGCACTGGTGAGCTCCAGGTTTGGAGAGAGATTCTGTCTTAAAAATAAGCTGGAAGGCCATAGAGGAATGACATCCAGTGCCAACCTTTGACCATCACACACACCTGCATGAGTACAAACCCTCGTATACAAGTGCATATATATGAATACATCACACACAGAGACATATACATTCATACTCACATATTATAATATTAAACTTTGAATGGATCTGTGAAGGAGCAGAGGATAACTGAGGGAGAAGAGAAAGAGAGAAGATGTGGAGACACAGAGACAGAGAGGAGGGAGAAGAAGAAAATTCATCTGAAGTACATATGATAAGTAGAGTATGAGGCATCCAGGCAAAATGTACATGGAAACAGGGGCTAGAGAGACAGCTCAACAGCTAAGAGCACTGGCTGCTCTTTTGGAGGACCGGGTTTAATTCCGAGCACCCCCACGGCAGTTTAAACCTATCTATAGCTCCCGTTCCAGAGGGAACACAATGCCCTCTTGTGGTCTCCATTGGTACTGCATGCACACAGACATAAATGCAACCGCTCAAGCACGTAAAAATCTATTAAAAAAGTGTGTGGAAATTCTTTTTACTTTGTTTTCAACTCTTCTAGCCATTGACAATGCCAAAATAAAGAAAAGCAAAAATATTCAGCAAAAGAAAGAGAATATGAACAAGCCATCTTGGTTTTAGATTTCTCATCTCCTGTGTATAGAACCTGCCTGCTTATTAGGAAAAGCAGCAGCAAGAAAACTCCTCGTCCATTATTCAAAAACCAGGAACAAAACCACCTGCATTTACATCTAAGGATTTCAAGTCCTGTGGTAATGTTGACCGCTTGGGTTTGGTAGCTTTGGTCATTAATCACCGAAGGCCATGTTGTCACCACTGTCTTCCTTTATAGCTGAGGACAGAGTACTCATTATCAAACTGTGTAAGAGGCTGGATAAGTCAACCACCCTCTGCTTAGGAGGGAACTTTTCAAGGCCCCGGGCCCTTCTGGTCCCCTCAAGATTCAGCTCACGGGGTGGCCAGCACTCCGTGGTACCTGGAAGCCCTCCTTCTGCCCGTTAGTCTGTTCAGATCTGACGACGCTCGGCACCACCTGAAAATTGATTCTGCTCAACCCACAGCATCTGACAAGGCTTCTGTTAACTGAAACAGCATCTTAAGAAGCTGAGAGTCTCTGGATCTCCCGCTTCCGTCTCAACATAGTAGGAATGGAAACGGTGGGGTTTTGTCTGCAACCAGAACACAGTAACTGGTGGGTGTCCGCGGGCCAGCTGCTGTCTGGTACCCAGCTTGTGCATCCTCATCGAGATGCCTGCTAGACCCTCAGCATGGACTTAATGTTTACAACCCTAGATTTAGAATTATCAGACAGTTAAGTCTGTGCCTCTTGGGGCTGCTCAGATTCCATATTAAGTCAGGACTGGTCGACACCGACAGATGCCTCCCTCTTGTGAGCCTCTATCCATCCCAGCGGGTGTATCAGCCCATCAGTAGGCTGATAGCCATTTGCTTGTCTGCGATGAGATTCTCATGAGGGCTTTGCCTTCCATTGTTAAGGACTCCAGCCCCATGCAGGGCTCAAGATCATGAATGCCCACAGTTGCTACCTTGGCAGCCTCAAGTCAGTCTGCTTCCTTGCCTGGTCTTTGCAAATCCCAAGAAACTCAAACGATCTGTTCCTGACGGAGAAGCTGGGAGATCTTTCTTTTTCCTTGTCTTTCCAACCTCCCCCCACTCCCTGTCTCTCCCTCCAACTGCAGCCTGCACACCCCCTGAGCATATGGGACATCCTGCTTGCTCTCCTCTGGAAGCCTCCCTAATCCCTTCCCGGCAGGGACACTGGCAAGCAGATCAAAGCTGCCTTTTGGTTCTGTGTCCAGATGAACTTGGGTTGTCAAGATGTCTCTTCAAAGAAATAACACTCTGTTCCTAGCCCAGAGGCCCAGTGCTGAGGTCACCAGTGACAAGGGCACCTTCATTCCTTTCTCATTAGGGATGGCTGAGTGTCTCCGTTTTAACCCGCTCAGTCCTGTTTCAGCTTCAAAGGCGCCCCAAAGCTCTGCCAAGGTACCGCATTCCAAGAAGAGTCTTTGGAAGTGTCATAGCTGAGTGTCCAAGAAACTCACAGATTTTTCACAAAATACCAAGAGGCGAATTGCCACAGCTAGTGACTTTTATTTAAAGTATTTAGTCCTGTCCAAAATGGCTCTTAAGAACTTGAAGTAGAGAGATTTAGAGACACTTCTATTTGGGGGAGATAGTGAGCCAAGGCTATGCAGAGAAAGTAGAGCACTAGACTGTAGGGTCCATCTGTCGCAGGGTGTGCTGGGAACATGAAGCTTTGACAACAAGTTTTCCCATCATTCTTCTCTCTCTCTCTCTCTCTCTCTCTCTCTCTCTCTCTCTCTCTCTCTCTTTCTCTCTCTCATGTGTGTGTGTGTGTGTGTGTGTGCACACGTGTGCACATGAGTGTGCACACATATGTGTAGGTGCAAGTGTATGGGAGTGTATGTGGAGATCAGAAGACTGTTTCAGGTGACATTTTTGAGGCTCTATCTACCATTTTGGAGGGATGGGGACAAATAAGGTCTCACATTGACCTGGACCCTCCCAACTAACTCCAAAGATTTGCCTTTTCTCTGCCTCCCCTACACTGGAATTATAAGCTTGGGCCACCATGCCCAGAATTTTAAATGTGGGTACTGGGGGGATCAAATTCAGGTCCTCACATTTTCAAGACAAGTACTTTACTGACTGAGTCCTCTTCTCTGCTCCAGGAGAGGGGTCATTTTTCCTGCTTTCTTTAAAAACTAAAACAAGTCTATACATGGCTTTTTTTTTCTTTTGAGCAAATGTGGAGGTTAGTCCCTGCACGATGAAGATGGGGTGGGCTTCCAGCTCAAATCCTCAGTGCTGGGGGCTCTTCCTCTTCTGGGGTCACTCTGTCTCTTCACCATGCAGTACAGGGTACCAACTCCGGTCTCTGTGTCAAACCTAGTTCAGTCTGTGAGACTGGACCTGGGTCAAGTTTGGGTAAAGGCTAAGGGCAAGGAGTTAGAATATGAAGATGCCCACATTTGATCCAGTCGCCAGCCACACGGTATTGGGTCCATGTTTACTTTCTCTAAGCCCCTAGCAGGATCTCTCAGCTCAGAAAAGCACTGGCTGCCAAGCCTGAAGCCATGAGTTCAATCCCCAGGACCCACATGAAAGAAGGGCATAACCAACTCCCCAAAGCTATCCTCTCACTTCCAGGAAAACAAAATAAATGAATAAAATGAAAAAAGAAGAAAAGAAAAGAAAACATTATAAGTCAGTCACAAATAGGACAGCGTGTCAAAGCTGAGTTACCACTTTCTTGGTTTTTGACACCCACAAAGGAACAAGCCTGGGCTGAGTACTGGAGGGTAAGGGTATGTGTGAGAGAGCAGGGGTATCCCACTGATGACACATGAGCCAACTATGGCCCAGTCATCAAGTGAGGCAGCTCGTTCTCAGTAGCCCAGCCCAGGCTAGAACAGTAACGTGAGACGAAAGCTTATTACAGCCTCCAGTTTTGGGGCTGTTCCGTCATGAAGCCACTCCTGATGGAGAAGGCAGTAGTTGACTACATTCTGGGCAGGATTTTAAATGCTCACCCAGCCCAATCTTAACACACATCCTATGAGAATGTCTACATATAGATGAGGAAATGGGGGCAGAGAAAAAGACTTTCCCCATGAAATCCTAATGGCACTGATGCTGTTAAATTCACTCCCAGTTGGCTGGAGCCAGAGGCTCAGGACCCCGGGGACATGTAATAGGGTTCCTCTCTACCAGCTACATGAGTATGATAAAAGTTCAGTGATGTGAGTCATATAATGCATTTAGCAAGAGC